ACTCAGCCTGAGATCCTCAGATGGGATACTCAGCATGGGATACTCAGCATGGGATACTCAGCATGAGATACTCAGCATGAGATACTCAGCATGGGATACTCAGCATGGGATATTCAGCATGGGATACTCAGCCTGAGATACTCAGTATGAAATACTCAGATGGGATACTCAGCATGGGAGAGCAGCCCATAGAAGGGCAAAGATAAACACAACTGGCAGTGACATGCACAGAATTTTTAAGAGGCAGGTGCTTGTATGGGGGCAAGGTTGGGGGCGTGGCTGTGTTGGCTACTGAGGTAGGGGTTCCCCTCGGTAAATTTTTCCAATGGGGTGTAGGTTTTGCATGATTGTCAGTTACTGAAAAGGAGCGCTTAGAACTTTTAAAGGGGAGCACCTCCAATTGTTCAGCCAAAGGGAGCAGGGGGCACAAGCACCGCCCCCCCACCCCCCCTGTCTGCCTATATGATGCAAATCCACCTAAATACATGACTTGAGAAGGTGATGAAAATTACCCACAGAGATCCTATCAAATCTGGCCTTCTAATCATCCCCTATATCTAACTGGTGAATTTTCTCCTGCCCCTTCACCACCATAGCTACTGTGTGGTGAGCGTACTGGTGCAGAATGGCTGCCATCGCATCATCCAGGTGGGGGCTACACAGTGGGGGTGACTGAAGTGGCTCCCCATTGGAAACCTGTGTGATGGGAGAATGTGCAAACGGCACATAAACAGAGCGGGATTCGAACCCCAACCCTGCAGGAGTAATGCAGCAATGCTACCTACTGCGCCTCCTTTAGTGCTTTTTATGACGAATTTATTTATTTTCATGCTGAGATAAAAGTGCAGCACAGTCAGTGCATGAAACTCACGTCTTCACTCCGCATCGCTTTCTCTGACCTGCTCGGCACCAGTGCAGTGCGGCGTCACTGCAAAGCAGTGCGACAGGGAGAAACTCCAGAGCATGACTGGAAAGCGCTTACTGTTTCCATGGAGATCATTTTCACCCCCACCCCCATGCGGCGTGGCGTGGTGTGGCGTGGGGGGGGGGGGGGGGGGGGGGGGGGGGGGGGGGGGGGGGGGGGGCAGGGATGCATGGAGGGGGGGGGGGGGGGGGGCAGGGATGCATGGACGCTCGCGACATGCGGCTCCTATTCCTATCAAACTCGGGCACCGAACCGATCGCTGCCCACCCCTGCCAATCCGGAATCGAAAAGGCTCACGGTGGACGCCATGGAGACTGCGCAGACGTCTGCAGTTAGCTGCGCAGTCGAACAGGGCCTCGCCGCAGAGGCAAATAAAAAATGGATTTTAAAACGAAAAAACAACAAATGGTTTAATATGCCAAGTCCTTTATGTGAATTTATTACTTAGATATGAAAGGACAACCTGTTTTACTGACTAATAGGCCAATAACAGTACATTAGCTGTGACACAAAAACACTACACTTGCAGAACGCAAAAACATCAGTCTGCCTTCCACCTGCGTACCCAGTGCAGGGTCTTGGGGAGTGTGGAGCAAATCTCAAATAGCACTGGACAAAAGGCAGGGGACACCCAAGACGGGGTGCCAATCCATGAAAGGGCACACATACAATTTGTGCCAATATAGGGACAGCAATTATCCAAACTGGTTGTTAACTACATGAAGTATGGAAGTAATCCAGAAGGAATCTGCACAACAAACAAAGAACGAATTCTATCTACACACAGCGTGGGCGGGATTCAAACCCGCGACCGTGGACCTATGAGATGAGAGCACTAGCCAAAAGTTCTTGTTGTAAACAGAGATCCGGCGCGCAGACTGATTGGGCCGGATTCAAAACGGCTTCACGGAGCTGCTCCGTTCGGTCGCCGTGGATACCGCTTACGGCATCCAAGCGAAGGTGTCTGTCCGATGGAGGCCGCGGCCGTAGACGAACTGGCCGGAGGCCGAGCGACGGAGCGCGAGCAGCACCGCGCACGTAGCGAGCAGCACCGCGCACGTAGCGAGCAGCACCGCGCACATAGCGAGCCGGTGGCTGATTGTAATGCGAGGCGTATTCGGCCGTTTGTCACATGTAAACGGTGTACTACAGATGGAAGGTCCGATACCACAGAGGGACAGCCTGAAATGCTCCAGTCGTTAATTGCTAATATAAATTTACCACTGCTGAGGACCATCTGGGACAGGAATCTTTGTTACGGAGCATTGTTTTTGTTGTTTTTGTAGGGTATGGTAGTCAAACCCAGTTAACGGTTTTGGAGGCAAATTAAAGTTCAACCACTACTATCTATACACTCAGAGTTCGATTGAAAGCGGATCTTCAGATAACAAACGAATTGTTCTGGAATCATTCACTTACGCACTCTATATGCATGAATATTTTACAATATGACTAAATTTGGATGTACATGTTGTGCTGGAGAATAAAATATGCTTTCTGGTTGCTCATAATATTCCTACAGAATACCATAAATAATAACTAGAGTAGTTCTTTGGAGACTAAAGTAAACCAACTTTGTATTATTATATTACATTTTAAGAAAGTTATATACATATATTGTGTTTTTTGTTCTTTCATCCCCAACAGCAATATTGTAATGTTTTGGGTAAACTGGGGAATGTAAACATTTTATTCCCAAGGAACTGAAAGCCAGACTATTTATTTTTTGCACGGTGAGTTAAATTGACCATCCCTAGCTAATGGCTAATTTGCATCCCTGAAATCACCCCCCCCCCCCCCCCCGCCGCAGTGTAATCTTAGGAGGAACGACATCACGAGAGAGATACGCAGAACAGCACATGGGGGTCGGCTGACCGCAGTCCGGGCCCCCGGGCATTTCAGTGGGGACCAATCACGTTTGTAGCTCCGCCCCCCCACCTCACCTCCTTAATTAATTAGGCAGATGATCTGCTGACTTCATCGCCTAGGCCTATGAAGCTCCTCATAATTCCATGATTAACGGCGGCGATGGGAAACAAATAGAGCGACCTGCGCATGTGAGCAGGTGAGCAGGAGGGGGCGTGGCCATCCCCCACCGGGCCCCGCCCCCAGGAGATCACCCCTGCCCCACTCCTGCCTCCCCTAGCTTCCTCCATTTGTCTCTTATGCTACCCCCTGTATGCCAGGCGTCAGATTTATGTGCTCTGCCTCGGTGGCCCTTGGGGTGCAGATATCACCCCTGCGAAACTCAAGCCGTTCGGCTTGTTTCTCTATGAGACACACACACACACACACACACACAGCAGCTGGGGTGTTTTTCACAGAGATATTTATCTATCTACATTAATATGGCAGCAGAAAATTTTATAGCTTGAGCATATTGCTCTACTGTAAACAAATAAGAATATTGCGCTACTCTAAACCCACAAATTCCATCGATCCATCTATCCATTTCATAAAACTGCTTATCCTATTCAGGGTGGCGGGGGGGGGTCCGGAGCCTGTCCGGGAGGCTACGGGCGCAAGGCAGGGATCAACCCAGGATGGTACGCCAATCCATCGCAGGGCACACACAACACCATTTACTCTCACACACACACACCTACGGGCAATCTGGCAACTCCAATTATCCTCTGCAGCCTATTGAAAGATGTATACAACATGCTACGTGGCTGCACAAAAACAGCCATTCTTACAAATACCAAAATGCATAGAGTAGTCTCTCATTTCATTTGTTTGCAACTGTTGGACACTGGTGGCACACAGGATGCGCTGCTAATGCTAACGCTAATGCTAACGCTAATGCTAACGCTAATGCTAACGCTAATGCAAAAGTCTCACTGTTTCAAGCAGTTTGTGCTGCAGCCAGTGGCATATAAGAAAGCCAGCCTATCCGGAGGGTAGCAGGTAGTTAATGATGCCAACTAGTATCTTGCTGGTTTCTGGTTCAAATCCCACGAGAAGGTCCCTGTCGTCGTACCTGCTGGTCGACGTACTTAACCTGAACCGTTCTGGTAAAACATCTGTCTGTATAAATGGGCAAAAACTGTGAGTTACTGAGGACAAAATGCATCAGTCAAGCAACTAAATTAATCAGACACAATTAAGTGAAGATTTACCTGTCTGAAAGCAGGACAGCTTTAAAAAAGTGCAGATTACCTCTCATCAATCCTGTTTCCCCCCTTTCTTACTTGTTGAGACAGTGAATAATGAAGCCATTACAGCTCTATCACATATAAGGCCCAGGGGCTTCTGGCATTGCAAGGCTAGCTTTTTAGTCAGGCTTGTACTGCACCGAGGTCCCCGGCTAATCCCAGAGCCGCTCCGATTGGGATCCGGATTCCAGGTCACCAGTAACGCGGTTTGTGTACAAGCAGGAGGGCAGTTAATCACGGCCGGGTAGCTTAACAAGCTATACTTTTTTTTACTAGTCTTCTTTCCATTCGCCGCAAAACAGCGAAAGCGTTAATGCGGCCCATCTGGACGGTAAAAGCGAAATAACTGCGCGACGACGACAGTGACTCCACTAAAACCAGTCATTACGATGGTTAATGACCAGCCGGACTTAATGGGTCCAGTTTGCGGGCCCTAGAGCTGAAACTTCGAATATGGCCAAACGCCATTACTAATGGGTTGATTTATGGATTTAATTAGATTGGGTCAAACTGTGTTTCTTTGGCTGTCAGATCATTTATTCGGGAATCACAAACGAGCAAATAAAATGAAAAGAAAGGAGTAAAATTGTGGAGAATGTTCTTCTTTCCCAGCCATTGATTCGACGAACTCAGACCTAGGTTTCTCAGTTGTCCTCCATCCATAACTTCAGTGGCATATTTATATCCAGGGTTAGGCTGTACTCTTCCAAATGACACCGTATGTTAGGTTATCAGTCCGGTGATTCTGGAAATGATGACTGGCAGTACCTGATATATAAGGATGGTGCAGCCTGAATAGGCTCGCTGACACGATTCCTCTGGAAAATTGGCACCAAATCCCATTCTGTGCTGAAAGGTCCAACCCCCCCCATCCCCCTCCCTCCCCCAGCATGTCACATGACCCCAGGAGGGTGACTCACGGAAGGCGGTGTAGAACTCCTGCAGGGTGAGGTACCCGTCGTTGTTGTAGTCATCGTAGCGGAGCAGGTCTTGCGTGGTGCAGTCCAACGAGCCGTCCTCCAGGTGAACCTTCATAGATATCTACACCAGGGTATGACCAGAGCAGCAACAGATCTCAGTCAGATCTTCTGAGTCTCTATGTTCTCAATACACTGAAGTATTACAATAATCTTATTTGGCTGGCTATGGGACCGGATTGGGAAACACTGATCTAGATTATTCAGGTGTGGTCAAACAGCATAGATCTACAGTGGAACACTGATACCTAGACAGGCAACCCGTATGCTGTTCAATTATTACTAGCATTGATAACATTTCAAAAACTCTATTCTACGACTAATATCTGCAATGACTTCTACTACTACAGGAGAACATGACTATACTGAATGTTCGGGCTTTCATCCTGATCCTGATCCATTGTGGCAGGCATGAGTTCTTCAGTGTTGCATTATGGGAAATGCCCACCTGTGCCAGCTCCTCCTTGCCCAGGTGCCCGTCGCCATCTGTGTCCAAGTACTTGAACATGCCGTCCACCAGCTCTCTCTTCTGGTCCATTCTCTTCTCCTGAACCTGTACCTCACCGCTCCGGTTTTTGGGATGCATGTCCAGCAGCACGCCCTTCAGCTTGTTGTAATCTGCCATTGTGCACGTGTCACCTGTGGTGTGACAAGAGTAAAGATGTCCTCCTCAGGATGCTGGCACGTGACAATTTTACTTACACAAAAGTGGTCTGAGGGCAGAATGAAAAATGATTGGTTCAGAGAGATAACCAATCGGATTGTAGAGGAGGTGGGACCAAGATATCTGATTGGTTGGTCCTGCCACCTCTAGTTGTTTGGTTCCACCTCCTCTATAATCTGATTGGTCATCTCTCTGAACCAATCGTTTCTTCCATCTGCCCTCAGAACATTTTTGTATAAGTAAAACTCCCATGAGCAGGCATGACCCACCCCGTCATAGGCTTAGCCCAACCAATCACAAGATTGGATTACCTCGTCATAGGCTTGGCCCAACCAATCACAAGTTTGGCTTTTGGATAATCCTGTGACCAACCCAACATTTAAAAACTGGAGCTGAGCCCGGTCAGGGATGGCGGCTTGTAGACAGCATTATTGCGAAGAATTCCAAGTAAGATGTTTAATGTGTGAATAACGTGGCGGGGGAGTGAATACTTATGCAAGCCTATAATGCATATAACAGATGCTAAACGCTGTGTTTGGTTAACCGTGCATTTCCTTTTTATGCCCCGGAATCATTGCACATATTCAAACCTTACATGCCTCTAATTTATCTAATTCTGCGTTGCTGTACCGCGCGAGCTCCAGTAAATAAATGGAAGGTGAAAGCAAACATGATTAATCAAGGAGAGGAAGTGATTATTTCTTACTGGAAATGACATTATGCAAACAAAACCCCGCACGCCGTGCTGCGCTTTCAGGCCCGGTTTAAATAAAGAAAATCATTCTTTTGTTTTTGAAGCACAGCGGCGCGAGTGTCGAGTGAACGAGGTGTATGTTTCGGAGAGGCGGCGAGTGTGCAGTAATGAGCAGCTTATTGAGACAAATAAGCCTGCGGTCCAGACCCACCTCCAGCGAAGACCTACCTGAGATTTAATAACCAATTCCGAGACTTAGCATTAGTCATCGCTAATTAATATAACAGACAAATCTTTATTGAGATAATACACTCCGTAACCTTCATGAAATGCAGGTTCGCCTCGCTGTTTTTCTCGAAGCATTTTGAAGTTCTTGTAGTTCCCTTCCCTGCTATCTCGGAGATGTTATCCCTCGTTTGAAGCTCGGCATTTTAATCTCCAGGTACACAATGAGGCTGGGTTTAGCTACAGAGTACTGTGGACCTCCTAGAGAGTGTGTTTCTGTGCCATGTTGTGTTCTGTTATTGGTTTTGGGTTTACATCAAAACATCTTCAGAAGATGTTGCTTTTTTCCCCTCTTCTATTAGCTGTACTCTTCCATTCCAGGAATGGCCACATTTATTTTCAATGCCATTTCTAAGATGTCTTGATCAGTTTCATGCTCATGAGTATAATATTAGGCTATTTCCTGCACCTGTTCCCCTCCTCCTCCTTTCTCATACTCCAGATGATCAATCATTGATGAGCCTGTCACAGAGGTGGGGAGAGATTCTATTTTCCAGTCAAAACTCTCTAATGAAGTACATCTATCAAGCTTGAGTCGTACAGGAAAGGTCAGTGGTGAATCGGAACAAGTTGTTATGACACGCCATTAATCCGAGTCCCTCAATTACCTCTTATTTTTGAAAGGTCTCATATTCTCACACAAGGATAAGCAACCAAGGTAAATAAAGCCAGTAATCATGACAACACCTCAGCTAAATTTTTTGACGAATTTCCCAACAAAGTTCAGAATGGTGTTCTAGACAGCGCAGGTTATAGAACTCTATGATCTATCATTTTCCGGGAGGTACCTGAAATTCACTTGTACATTATTGCATCCCTGGATTGATGGTGTTTTTCTGTAAACCTTTAACTCATTTTTCATATTTAACAGGGAAAAACCAAAGAGTGACCCATCTTAAATATATTCCCTCAGAACAGATGGTACCACAAGGTTACTGGGCATCTTCAGGTACAGTACCAGTCAAAAGTCCGGACACACCTGCTTTTCTCTCTCTCATGTTATTCTCTTTATAGTAAAAGGCCTTGAGACAATCAGGTAGCACATATAACATATTGCACTGACCAAGAGAACTGCTCAACATCTCAAATTTTAGACTCATCAAAATAGCCCCCTTTTGATCCCATGACAGCATTGCAGACTCGTTCAACCAGATCCCAGAAGTAACTACCTGGGATGCTTCTCCAACAGGCCTGAAGGAGTTTCCACAAGTTCTGGGCACAAGTTGGCTTCCTTCCTCTTACTCTTTGATCCAACTCATCCCAAACTAGTTATATAGGGTTTAGGTCGGGGGATTGTGGGGGGCAGGTGATCTGTCACAGCACTCCATCTTTTTCCTTTTTCGCAAGATAATACAGTGCTTACATAACTTTGGGGTGTGCTTAGAGTTGATTTCTTGTTGAAAAACAAATGATTTTCAATACATCTGTCCAGGTTTTGACTGGTACTGTGTGTGAATCTCTTTCCTCCCCAATGCCGTGCCCATGCAGCAGAGAGCAGACAATAGCGCAGATGCAAACTCTTCACGTTGGAAAGAAATAAATTCACAAGCAGTGAATGTGCATACCAAACCAGGCCAAAGATAACTTCCAGAAAACACACATAATGGCCTCCTAAAATGAATGCAACACATTAGTAGGGTTTTACCAATGCATGAAGGACACCAAATGACAAAAGTAATATTCATTTTAGAGCTTTTAAGTTTTCTAAACATTTTTCCTGTTTTTGTGCCGTGGCTAAATTTAGCTCTACATTGATTCAAAAATAAGTTCTTCGCTTCTGGCTTGTGGCCTGGACTTGTGTGTGTGTGTTTTTTTCTGTAGACTGGATAAGTCTATCCTGGGAATATTACAGAGGTGAAAGTGACTTAGAGCATCTGGCCAGGGCGAGATGCTTGTGAAAAGTTTTCCGATGACTTCCAGGGCGCAAAGCACTTGTGGGCTCGGTTGTCGCAATGTCTTCCAAGATTTCACGGAATGCCCCCTTGTGGAATTTGCCGGTGACTTCTCAAATATGGTGTATCTGCTCTGGAGGGTAAACTTGGCAGGAGACAGACCCCAGAGTCTCTCATGGAAGTCAAAATAAGTCATTGGCACACGCTCTTCTAGGCTGACAGGAAACACATTAGGGTGATGTTTTTATTTTGATGTTAAACCGTGTTCTTGTACGACATGTGATGACTACAAAATGGCGGCGGAATGTCAGATATCACCCAAGCCCTCAAACATCTCATGCTCGGCATCGCTTTTACTTAAGCACTGGCGCTACATTTCGGCAAGCCAGCTTATTTATTTATATTCACTCGCTCTTTTCCCTCCTTCTCCTCTCTTTTCCTGTGCCACTTCTCCAGTGCTTGTTTTTGGCTCCCACCCCCCTCTAACCTTTTCCTATTAGCGTGCGGCAAATTGCTTTGATTCCTAGGAGAGATGCCTTTGATTGGGTGAGTGGCCAGCTATCAAAAATATTACCGCTTTTTTTTTTTTACGGGGAAATCAAAATGGAGCCCTCAGGTAATGTGTGTGTGTGTGTGTGTGTGTGTACAGTAAGTGTGTCTGAGATGGCACGATATTTTTTCTGGTCCAGTCCCAGTACTGATATTAAAATCCTATCCTATCTTTTCCCCCTTTATCAAATACTAAGCACTACAGTAAATGAGATATTTGTATCAATATGTTTCAATTAGCATGGCAAACTGCATTTAGCGTCGTGGCGCCGTTGTTTGAGTTTGCTAAGAATAGGGAAGTATAAAGGCCATGCTGCTCAAACAAAAGCCGCGACGCTACGCTGCAGGAAGGAATCCATGGCGACGTGACTTACGGGCCGGAATCTTTGTTTCATTCAGTGCCAACTTTTGCAAAAATGAAACGGAAATATTTCTTCTTCTGTAAACTATGCAATCTGCTGCCAAATTAAATATGATAAATAAGAAATCAAGCATAGCAACGTCACTCTATATCCACGACTAACCATTTCTAGTCGAAAAGAAGTAAAACGGACGAAAATTAAGCAAACTTTGGAAAGAATACAAGTCTGAAAATATCTGGTTTGTGTACATTTTACTGTGTTGAGACTTTAGAAAAGTCAGCACTGGCCTTACATTCATGTACTCTGCAGTTCACCTTTTTCCTTCCTACAGTGTAAAGTACAGTAACTGTTTTCCCACATGGATAACATGACAGTCACATGATCCTCACGTCTGTCGCACTAAGGCTACAAGCATTTTTGTGATTTTCATACTAAGTCTGCCTCTGATTGGAAACTGCAAGCGGTTTCTTACCCCCCCCCTAACTGGTATCAGCCCGATACTGATAGTGGGTATTGGGTTGATGCCATCTCTCCCAGATACACATAACAAAATATATGCCCCCCTCTTTAGCCTCCCTGCTTTCATTTCTGGGTTATAAACGAATGTGGAGGGCAGGTCTCTTCTATGACCCTGTTTAGATTTCTGATTACAGGTATATTCTGTGGTTACAGAAATTATTGGTCAGATTATTGTTTTTTTCTGCATCTAACTGCAAGCGTTACTTTGTGGTAATAATAATATAATAATAATAAATGCAAACAACATGATCATAGAGTCTTTTTTGATGGATCATGATTTTTAACGAAATGTGAAAGTTTTCTGTCACCGTGACTTCACTGCAGATAGATTGGTATCAATGAATACCGTCCCTAAGCAAACCTCGAGGTCATGTAAGCACAAGGAAAGAGACAGAGTGCTGTGACAGATGACCTGCCCCCCCCCCCTCCAGAATCCCCCCACCTGAACCCTATAGAGCTGGTTTGGGATGAGTTGGATCAAAGAGTCAGAGCAAGGTAGCCGACTTGTGCCCAGAACTTGTGGAAACTCCTTCAGGCCTGTTGGAGAAGCATCCCAGGTGGCTGCATCTGGAAGCTGGTAGAAAGAATGCCTAGAGTCTGCAACGCTGCCGTCGAAGTAAAAGAAAGATCATCATCGATCTACATTATACTCATTTCCATCCATCCATTTCCTC